CTTCTGATGACTTTCCAAGTTGCAAAGCATGCACACAAAGCACTTCCCTGTCCCAAACATTTCAATATGCATTTGACCGGAGATCAATATTTGTTCATGGTTTTTAGGTTTATACAATGAAATGCACAAGTCATTTTTCGACAAATGCACACTCCTGGGTAATCCAAATTGCTATCAAGATAGAGATTGTTACCATCACTCTAGAGAGCTCCTGCAAGCCCTTTCCCAGCCAATGTCCATCTCCCCTTAAGAGACAAGCACGGTTTTGATGGGTTTTGCGTATCCTGGAATTCATTTACATGGAATTTTACAGTGTCAGACCTCTTTTAATCAGCATGATATTTTTGAGATTCACTCAGATTGTCGCCTGTACCTGTGGTTTGTTCCTTTTTGTCACGGACTGGTGTTCTGTTGTATGCTTATACCACAATATTGATGAACAGCTGGGCCTTTTCCGGTTGACTATTACAAATAAACCTGCCTAGAACACTGGTGTATGAGCCTTTGTGTGGACACATGTCTTCATTTTCTTGGGTAAATATTTAATATCAGAATTGCTGGCTCATAGATGGAGGTATCTTTAATTTTATAAGAAACTGACAGATCTTTTCCCAAAGTGGCTGCGCTCTCTCACTGCCGCCAGCAATGCCTGGAATGTGCCCACTGCTCCGAATTCTTAGGTTACTTTTTAATCTGGATCTCATCCTTCAGTGAGCTCCCTATCCTTTCCTGCCACGGCAGTCCTGGGGGTGTGTTAAAATGCACTGCGACCCATATCACTCACTGCCGAGACTTTGAGCGGGATGGAACCGATGGCAGGGTATCGAAGGTCCACTAACCAATAGTTAGTTGTTCAGTCATCTATGGAAACGCAGCACAGAACTATAACCTGTGTACATCACCTCAGGGGTATCATGAGATAGTTTGTCAAATCAAGAAATTCTGGTTTATGCGTGTAAGTGGAAGAACATAATGATTAGAATAAGAAAAGAGAGAATTATTCTTAAAGACTGAATGAATTTGGACAACTGTATTTCTTTGGAAATATGATACATTTGGTTCGTTTTTCATCACTGATGTCAGCAAAATATTAAAGATTTCAATTACAGGTAGATGTGCTATCAGATTATGCAATGGAGACTTTTCTTACAATAAGATTCCATAAAATTTTGATGAAGAAAAAGAAAAAGAAAGGCTGTCCTTCTAACATCCCTCTTCCTAATGCACTCAAATATCAAAGAGGGGAAGGGGTTCCGTTAACGTGACCAGATTAGGAGCCCTGCACGTCGGTGGCTACTGCCTCCCTCTAGAAGAGTCTACAGATGCTGCCTCCCAGTTCTTGTAAATTAGGCTGTTAAATAATTTAAGAACCTTTCTAGAGATAATATTCAAGCATAGCTGTGTGCAGGATTCTGAATCCCTTCTTTGAAGCGGGTACAAAAGTGTCTGTCACTCACCGGCCTGAGGGAGGGGAGAGAAAGGAGGGAGGCAGACAATGGACATCGCTGAACACCTGTTTGTGCACTGGGTATGCAGTATAAGAACACTATTTCATTTCAGGTGTCATTATCATCCTGCTTTTCACATGAGGTCAAATCTGGCCTGCTGCTGTTATTGTAAATAAAGTTTTATTGGAACATGACCATTCCTACTTATTTAAGTATTGTCTCTGGCTACTTTAGTGCCACAGTGGCAGAGCTGAGTAGTTGTGGAAGACAGCATTTGGTCTGCCAAGCCTAAAATATTTACACTCTGGCTCTTTAGAGAAAAAGCTTGACAAACTATTGAAGGGAGCAGTAAAAGTCTGTGGAACAATATTGAATAGTATTACAGATGTAAAATTGGAGTCCCAGAAGGAGAAAAGAAAAAGAATGGGGCAGAATAAATATTTGAAGAGGGAATGACTGAACACTTTCCAAATTTGATGAAAGACATCAACACACAGGTTTTAGAATCCCAGGAAACTCAAGGAGGATAAACACAAGAAAGGCATCTGTACTTAGGTACATTTTAATCAAGCTAGAAAGGGAGGTAAAGAGAAAATCTTAAAGTCATCCGGAAAATAGTCTACAGTCAGAGAAAAAACAATGGGAGTTATAGCTAATTTATTATTAGAAGCGAGGGAAGACAGGAGGCAATTGAAGAACAACTTTAAAGGGCTTAGACAAAAGAGTCTGTGAACTTAAAGTCTATGTCTAATAATAATCTCCTTCAAAAATAGAAGCCAAATTATCACATTTTCAGACAAATAAAAGCTTGGAGATGTCATTGCTAGGAGACCTACATTGGAAGAAATAATAAAGGAAGTTCTGCAGGCCAAGGGCTAGATTCCCAGGAAGAAGTGAAGAGTGCTGGAACTTGTAAATGTGGACAAATATAAAAGATTGTTGTTTTTTCCACTTAAATGTTTTTTACTGTTTAAAAGCAAAAGTGAAAATATAGAGGCAACATATATGGCAACCCTAGCAGGAAGGGTGGAGGGCAGTAAATAAATGGTGCTATCACAAGGCTTATCTATTATTTCCATGTGAGTGGTGACCACAGGCTGTATACATTTGTAGAGTTCACTGAGCTGTACCCGTAAGATCTGTGCACTTCATTGCATGTTAATTATGCGGCTCTTCAACAAAGCACTGTTAAGATGAGAAGAGAGAAATAATGGCCACGAGAGAGCTGTGTAAGCCAGCAGGACTCACCGTGGAGCAGATGTTTGTGTTTGTCACAGGAAGTCAGGTCCTGCTCCCTGGGAGAGGCTGTTACAAGCTGAAGATGGAGTGGGCTGAGAGGTTCAGGCCCCTTCCCACTCTGAGGATGAGGCAAGAATTTCTTCTGTGACTGACTCCTGCTGGAGCACGTCCTCCTGCCTTCATGGAGACCGGCAGCAGGACTTGACCCATGTGATGAAGGGCCCTGAGGCCTGGCCTTCCTGTCCTGGGCCTTGGGGTGGGGGTGAGGAGCTGGAAAACTGACCACCCCCTTCCTGGGACCTCTCCTTATAATGGGGAAAACTAGAATATCCGTCTGGAAGGGACCTTGATTCAATCAGTGCACTGCTGCCATTTCACAGAGATGGGACTTGGGGCTCAGAGTGAATAAATCTGTGAAACTGGACTTGAAACCAGGCCTCCTCTTTGTAACATAGCAGCTCCCTTGGCCCCTGAACATAGCGAGAGGATCCACAATGATATCTTTCTCCGCCCCTTTCTTAAAAATCTTCACCCCCTCGCTGCCTTTGTTTTTTGAGTTTTGTGGAAAACAGCTGGCCAAATGAATTCATACTAAGGTGTGAGTGATTTATAACCATTGAAAGTCTGTCTCAAAGGACATGCATATTAGCCATCTCCAAGAAACGGTCCTATTGGTGCGATCCCATCCAGCATGGCAGGCTAAGGAGAAATATTGTGAGGCTGGGGCAGGCAAAGAAGGTGAGAAAAGTGTTTCCAGTCTGGAGGCACCTGGTGTGGGGGTCTGTCCCTGCCCTCGGACACTGGCTCATCGTGGGTACATTATATTACCTCCCGGGGCCTGTTTTTTTATTTTCTGTGTAAAATGAGGGTTTAACTAGAATAGCTCAGAGGCCCTTTCCACTCATTAGTGCCTTCACTTTACAAGAGTGGCCTTGTTGTTATCTTTAGCTTTCAGGACTTGGAAGGAGACTAGAGCCTCAGCGGGTATGGGGAGTCTCCACTTTACAGGTGAGGAAATGAGGCAGAGAAGGAAGGCCCCTCTGTGGGATGGATGCTGGGTGCCCCCCTCCCCCAGGCTGCCTCGTGAAAGGGCTGGAGGGGCCTTCTCTGCACACCAGAGCTCTGGCTGCTCTGGGGAGGGGCGAGCCAGCCCCACTGGAGGCCCCAGAGGGCAGTAGGGACCCTGACAGAGGGGCTCTTCCCTCTCAGCTCCTCCCAGACCTGGCAGCAGAGCCGCCTCGAGGGTCTGGGTCTGCATGACTCCCCAGTGCCTCTCACCCTCTGTACCTGTGACCTCCGCCCAGAGCCCCCCACCCCTGGCTGCCTTTTCTTCTCTGCCTGGCACACTCTCGCTGAAGTGGTTTCCCACTATTTTTTGCTTTTCACCTTTTTGGTAAATGCACCACGTTTCTTTGGGTTAGTAAGACAGGTACTGATTTAGGTCCTTTGTAAAGTGAGTGGCCTAAATGAGTAGGTTACCTGTATATGAAGGAACTTATTCAACAGTGACAACTATTAT